CTATATATTTTTTTTTAAATCTCAATTGACACTTACCCGAGACTAGGTTGACTCGTATGTGCAGTTGCTCTTACAAGAGGTGGTGGTTGTTGAGCTTGGGCTACATTTTGCATTGTTGTAACCGGGTAGACCCCAGGATATGGGGCTGCTGCCCCATTATTACTTCCCCTGCTTCTAGACTGTTGGGAGTAAGTTTTGGTGGCAGCAGGCATTTGCTGAAAATAAAAAAGTCAATGAATATTAGAAATACAATATGTAACAGAATTTTTAATAGTGTGTCTAATGTAAATATCAATGAAATATTCATACTCAATATCTATATAGAATAAGTCAAATTATATGATATAAACTTTGTAAAAGATGACAGCTTACGTTATGCATATTTAGAGATGTATTGGGCATTCGTATGATAGAATTTGCTTGTGAAACCAATGATGTCTGAAAGGCAGGTTGGCCACCAACGAGCCCGGTCCAGCCATTGACAACCCCTTGAACTGTATTCAGCATAGATTGCGACACCAGATTCGACCTATTGGAGGAAAGTCCCGATGGGGAAGAATGCGCAGGGTGCGTTGTAGCCACTGGCCTTGGTTGTCCTATTCGCGACATTTGCGGTGGAGCACTCACAGCAGCAGGTCCCCGCGGCATTATATTAGGCATTGGAGCGGCGCGCGCGTTTAGAGGTACTTTATTCGCGTTATTTTGCACGGAAGTAGGCTTAGTCGCCGGCGGTGTAGGCGGCTGTTTTGTCCATCCACCGCCACTACCGCCGCCGTTGCTATTCACTAATAACTGTGAGTCCATAACTTTGCTCGGCCAATAATCTTCGAAACCAGTGCCCGGCGGAAAGTAACTCTTAATATCACTCAAACTAATCACCGAGCACGTTTCACTAGCAAACAGTTCATTACGTATACCCTGTACCTTGCAGCAGAACTTCAAGTAAGACAGATCCCAACCTTCGAGTTTCTCTGCCTTTAACTTGAGATTCTCAGTCTCACCCTCGAAATAAAACAGCGGAACGTACTGCAAGCCGTCCTTTACCGTATAAGGAACCACAGACTCTTTGTTTATTCGTATGAAACCGCATTTCTCCGCTTTACGACCGCTCGTCACACTTGGATTCGTACCGGCGGTCAGTTTCGTGTAGCACACGTCAAGAAACTTATAAAACTCCTTGGCGTCTATTAGACGCACCACCAAGTCTTTGCACGTAAACTGTTCCCTCCCGAACTGATTCTCGCAATGCTTAACGTTGATTTCGTTGAATAGCTTGCTCTCCGGTTCCGTGATGTAGTAACTCCTTATACAGGTGCAGCTGTAGATGTCCGAGTGTAGATAGCTCAGGTACTTGTTGAGAAGCTTATTTTCTAGGATGCGTACGGCGCAATACTTTTCGGTGCAGCGATATATAAAGGGTATGTGGTTATCGTCAAAACTGGTCCAGCCAAAACGTCCTCTTTGACTTTCATCATCCAGTGGCGGTACTCTACTACTATCTGGACTTTCGGCCGGAGTTTTCGAAACAGAAGACGTGGTCTCGTTCGGCCGTTTGTTCAGATATCCAAGGATACCGTGTAGATTAGGCTGTGATACTTGACACTGTGTCCTCGCTTGTTGAGCTCCTTGCAAAGCAGACATCATTTTCGCCTTGTTTGCTTCCACCATTTTGGCAGCCAGCTCACAGATCTCCGCTTCATCTTCTTGGCGTTCTTGTTTAACAACGATTTTATCGAAATCTAGAGAAAAACAAAACACGTATAAATTTATAATTATGGAAGTTATATTGCATTTAAGTTATATATAAATTATGTTTGTACATGTTTGTACATGCTGCACGCAAAAGAAGCATTGATTCTTATTTGCTTATACGAGGCAAATTTTTTTTAACATTATTCTTTATTTCATTTTATTTCATTATATTTTTACTTCATTTCGTCATTTTTACTTCATTCTTTATTTTAAGCTTGAGTATTCTATTTCTGTATTTTTTTCCTTAGCTACTTTTTAACGTGAGGAATTCTCTTGACAACGTTCTAATGAGTGTATTTCTTTACAATAAAATATATCCTTGCCAACTACTAACGGATAACGTCAATCTCTGGATGTTGCAAAAAAAAAGAAAGTCTTATAATCACTTATTATGTGTATTTTTTGCGTAAACATATGGTGCATATTCGAAAATAGATCAGATTCAATCACAAGAAATGGAAATTATCTCGCATTCGCTGCTATTCATTACTTGTATATATAATTAACGTAACTAATTTTCTCATCACACAACAATCGGTACGCATTTTTACATATTCGAAATGCAAATAGAATTTTAATCGACAACAGGCTCTTCGCATTAATAATGATATTATGCAGTCGATAAGATTTTGGAGCTCCGACGACAATGTGGTTCGTACAAAGCGTGAAGTCGAACAAAAACGTGTTAATAAACTTTTAATCGCGCACTACCGTTTTGAATTTGCTGTCGCTCAGGCCGCGTCTAAACAACAATTGAGAGGATTCTCGTCGCGAAACGTAGCGTAAAAGTGGGCGCAAACAAACACGCTGCTGTCTCGTGTGAAGTTAAGAGTAGGCAAAACCCAAATACCGCGCACGTGACGCGCTTCAATTAAAGATCCTCGATTGATCGCTCGTGTCTCGCGTTCTCGAACGTGCCGCCGCGTCGTGTCGTGTCGCGTCGCGTCGCGTCGCGTCGCGCTGCGCCGCACGCTTCATGTCACACAACGCTGCGCATCGCATAGCATCACGACGCGACACAATGATGCGATTATCCCAGACCAACGTAAACACTGTAAAATCCACGATTTTACAGCTTAACAATTGTACGGATCCAGCGAGAATCATGTCGATTCGCGCGCACCACACCGTAAAATCTCACGCGAGAATCCATGCCGTTACGACGCAACGCATATCCAATTTTCGATGCTGTAGCACGCGAATGTGTTTAAACGTATATATAATTCTCGCGTGCTACAGCATCGCACACCTAGAGAAAGGCGTAGAGATAGAGAGCGAGAGAGAGAAAGAGAAAAGAGATCACCGGGACAGTGAAAACGCTCGTATTAACGAACCTACGCTTGAGACTTCGTGACTCAAGCATAGCAAGCATACGAAGATGAAGACCTACTGAGTGAGACTCGCTCGGGTGCTGTCCGCGACGGACTGCTTTTCTCGAGCCATATGGCGTCCGTGCTGCTGTCGGCACTCGCGACTGGTATATCCGTGAAGCCGTTCCTCATCCTCGATGGTGAAGAGGGTCCTCTCAAATCCAGTGCGCGAAATCACATTTCGACGCGCAACTGGGCGGTCGACACGCCACAGTGTTTCCTCGTTGAGGTTATACGCGGAGCAGCAGCACGTCCGTCTACGAGCACCGCCGACGGTACGGCGCGCGATCCATGTTACACGACTGTGAGCGAGAGGAGAGGACAGAGAGATGAAGACGAGGACGAGAGCGACAACGACGTATCGGCAATGGATGGCCGACCATGTATACGGTCCGCATGAGAAAGTTGTCCCTTTACATGCGTTGGCTCTCAGCTCACAGTTTTCACGCTTTCCCTCGACGACGACGAAGACGATGATGATGATGATAATGAGAAGGAAGAGGAAGAGGACGACGACAACGATGACGATGACGACAACGACGACGACGACGACGATGATGATGACGACGACGACGACGACGTTTCACTTTGTGCGCCGACACTATTATACCAGGTGGCGCGAAAGATCCTCATCACTACTGCCGCCACCACCTCCACCTCCACCGATACCCACTACCACCGCGTTCTCGCCACCACTACCGCGCTCGATACGTCGAGGGTATAGGTAAAACAGGGGGAGAACGGGGTACGTAGACGGTATCACTTCACCGTTGACTACGTACATGCCGTTTGTCCGGGCGTAACTCCGTTGGCCGTCGGAGCTTTCTCAAGGATCACGGTGTTCACGAACGGGGACACCGTTGCACTATGGTGCCGCGTCGGCCGCGACGTCGAGCTGTTCGCGTCGAGCGCTGCCGCGAGAGCATTAAGCGGCAGGCATTCCCGCGGTCTCGCTGCGCTGATTCTCCTGCGATTCTTGGCGCGGACTGTACCGCGTCTAGGTACACGCTCGTCCTCGTCGTCGCGGCGCCGCGTACATAGCTGGTCTGTTGAACATTCTTGGAGTATCTGCGAATCCACTACGGCTCTTCTTCATCTGGAAATCGAGGACGCGACACGATCGACAGTGACTGCGCGATGTTTCGACGCGGACGTGTTGTCGGCCGTGGTCTTCGCGTTTCAAAGTGTCCAAAAGTGTCTTCTCGTGTTTCGTATGGAAATATCTTGATGTTTATGGATTTTCGACCATATATTTTTGATGATTCTAGAGGTCATTGGATGTGATAGTTGATAGATAGCGGTCGATATCATAGTTATTACGACAGTTCTGCGAGACACCCTGTATATATGAATGAGTACAGGATAATCACTCAAGTCCTTTTCACTTGTATCTCATTTGCCTGTAATGCTTAACAGCAACAGGGCACAATTCCAAGAAAATATACTTGGGAATCCATTATGTTGGATAATCGGCTCATATGTAATTCCTAGTGTATCGCGGATACATGATGCCTTCGAAGACACTCTCTCTGAAATTTAACATAAAATCATCAATTTTGTGCAGTTGCAATTCTGATAGTTTGTAAATCCTGATAAGACGGTGTGAGATTACGGTGTGAGATTGCAAATACATATTCATGCGAGTGCCATCATTCATTTCCGCGTATACATCTTTCCCTTTAGTTTAAATAAAGTATTTAATATATAAAAAAAATTCATTTCGTCCTTTGTGTCTGTGCGTGTATGTTCAACATCCATATCCATGTGAGCGTCAATCTCATCTTACGTCAAGTATAATCTCTAGAGATCCTTAACTTAATTAGAAATGTCGCTTATCTGTCATAAGATTAGAAGATTTCTCTTTCTTTCAAGGAGAGAGTATCGGAGAGTGCTAGCCGTTGGTACTGTTACGTAGGGCATAGCAGATAAAACGTCTCCATTTTTATAATAATTCATAAACATGTACGAGATGCACATTGATTTCAAAAAAAACTCCGTCCATTCAAACGTTTCGCTTTTGGTCGCAATTACTCCGATTATTTTCTCCCTTTTTTTCCTTTTGGATAGTTGGACTGCGCGGCCCGCCATATAGGATCGCGCATCGTGTGACATGGACTGGTTGGTGGCAGGAGCTAGGTACATACCGCTCAAAGAGTAGCCAGGGTCGACGCGTAAGATCGCGCAGACGATGTGACAACGTCGCACGGTCGATATGCTCTTTCAGGCAAAGTGCCAAGATTGGTAAACGCACGCGGGGGTATATAGTCGTGGTTTCAGGTGCTCTACCCCTCCCGCTCCCCTCCTGATCCCCTACACCTCCTCCTGCTCCTCCTCCTCTAACGCCCGCGCTTGATTCGTCGTTCACCGTCGTTCTTCGTCGCTCTTAGAACTCACCCGTGGGATTTGTATCATGGTGGGAGAACGCAATGGAGGTGGGGGGCACCGAAGTTGCGCAGAACCCAGCCAGACATCAGCTCCGCTCGCGCCATTGCGCAGCTCTTACGCACATAAACCCGTCGGCCGCTTATGTACTACATATGTATTATACTTATTATTTTAATCATGATTTACGAGCGCGGCGTTGCCGGCTCTCGCGCTACGGGCACGCCCACTCCCTCTCTTGTCTCACTTTTCAACCATATAGACGAATACATAGAAACGCGCGCTGGTGGAAAAGCAACGTCGCTTGATCGATACTTGAGAAACTTGCAATAAAAAAAATTACTATCACGAATATATTTCTCCGATAGCCCGTGAACTCTGCAGCTAAACTAAAGATTTCCTAGATGTCTCTCGTGTCGTAGTCAGCTAAATTTTTCCTCGATTGATTTCCAAAATTCTATCTACGATATTCACTCGTTGTGCACTTTGCGAATACAAATTTGATGATACATCATATCTAAAACAATAACAACATACAAGTGTGTGTTTAAAAAATGATGGCTGACTCATATACTAATCATTGCGACGTTGCCGCTATAAAATGGCCGACGTGGCCTTGATAGCGTCTAGTTTTACTGCGTCGCACATTGGGCCTGTCGTTTTGGCAACACTGCAAAAGGTCGTAGCGATCTATTTATAGCAGCCCTCTATCGCCGCTGTTGCTATGCCGAGCAAAGGTTATTTGGTTCATGGATAAGGTGGGGGTGCAGCTAAAGGTGGGGAGGACGATAAAAAGGAGAAGAGGGGGAATTGGAGGGCGTAGATGGAGCGCGGAAGGGAGAGTAGCGGGGTAAAGGATTACTGAAAGAACAATATGGCGGAGGAACGGATGTGCCTCCTCCTATTTATCCATGTACTGCTATAACTCAGCTTTCTCTATCCTTTTTCTCCCCTCTCTCTCTCTCTCTCTCTCTCTCTCTCTCTCTCTCTCTCTCTCTCTCTCTCTCTCTC